GGTCGGGCGCGGTGGCTCAAGCCTGTAATCCCAGCACTTTGGGAGGCCGAGGCGAGTGGATCACGAGGTCAAGAGATCGAGACCATCCTGGTCAACATGGTGAAACCCCGTCTCTACTAAAAATACAAAAAATTAGCTGGGCATGGTGGCGCATGCCTGTAATCCCAGCTACTCAGGAGGCTGAGGCAGGAGAATTGCCTGAACCCAGGAGGCGGAGGTTGTGGTGAGCCGAGATCGCGCCATTGCACTCTAGCCTGGGTAACATGAGTGAAACTCCGTCTCAAAAAAAAATAAGTATCTTATGGGCAGATTCTTCGCGACTATGCAAATAACGTTTCTTATAATTTCACCAACAATTTTAGCATACACTGATGATTCTTAAAACAGTTTTTGTGGTGCTTACCTAACGGTTAATCTTTATTTCCATCATTCCTTCTGCATTGATACTGAAATTCTGTATGGAATAGCTTTCTCTTCCCCTCATTTATCTCTCTATATATTAATTTATATCAATTTGGACTCATGGATGTTTTATTTTATTCTATGAGTACTCTCATATATATATCCAGTACTATCATTTTTCTGTTGTTCAGACTGTTTTAGCTTTGACCATAGGGAGACCCTTCAGATTGACTCCTGTGTCCTTTCAAGATGCCACCATTATTTTTTGAACACTCCTTTGCTTTCTCGTACCATAAGATGTGGTTCATCTGATATGTCCCTGTCCTGTGTTGGGAATCCAAGGATTCCTAGAGTTCCTTTTACTGGAAAACAGCATTTAGAATCCAAGATATGGACACTAAGATTTCAGCAGGCAGAGTTCAGAAATATCTGCATGTATATGAACACATACGTGCAGACACATCTGTATTTCTTTATCCTATGCATTTTTACATGTATTAAAAACCATGCAGACTGATATCTCCACTTTCAGTTCAACACTGCAGGACTCATTCTAACGTTTTCCCTTTTACTTGTAACTTTTATCCCAATAATGAGAATTCTGACTTCCATTATCTGTACTTTTTTTTCAATCCTAGACTATACATAAAGTTCCAGAATTGTTATATCTCTGTGAGTATAAGATTTACTAGAGTGTAATATTTGTGCACTGTCCTTTTTATCTTTAGCCTTACAATGTCCAATCAAAATACTGTCTCCCAGGGTTACTTAACGTTAGTTCCTTTATTTTTTCAGTATGTGAAACATTATTATGATTGTAAGAGTTAGACCTGCACAAAAAGGTATATTCAGAAAATAGTTGTTCCACTTCCAGTTCTTTCCACCCTGTTTCCATACCATCAGTACTCTTTGCACTGTGCTCTTTCTTTCATTAAGTATTGTTTTTAGGGAGCTGTATTTCTAGTAATTTTGTAAAGAGATTTACAATTTTTTTTTTTGAAATGGAGTTTTGCTCTTGTTGCCCAGGCTGGAGTGCAATGGCACGATCTCGGCTCACGGCAATCTCTGCCTCCTGGGTTCAAGTGATTCTCCTGCCTCAGCCTCCCGAGTAGCTGGGATCACAGGCATGCACCACCATGCCCAGCTAATTTCGTATTTTTAGTAGAGGCAGGGTTTCTCCATGTTGGTCAGGCTGGTCTCAAACTCCCAACCTCAAGTGATCTACCCGCCTTGGCCTTCCAAAGTGCTATGATTATAGGCGTGAGCCACCATGCCTGGCCCGTGTTATTTTTTAAAAGATACTTTGGCAATGTTTTCCCTCCTTTGTAAAGCTATATGTACAGTCACTTCAAGAAGATCTCCAATTTTAATACTCAATTTGTCATCCTTATCAAGATAAGCATTTGTCAAAACATAATCTTTGCATTTGGAAGGAAAATAACTTGTTTGCTTTTATGGTCTTTGAAGAAATATAATTCATACTGCACTAACTTGCTTTTCAGATATCTTAATATCTATGTTGGGCTGCCTGATGTTGAAGAAAGCTTCAATGTAACTAGACCAGTGTCCCCTCATGAGGTAATTATGAACCTTACTTTAATTGGACTTGCTTGAACTCAGAGTCTGCCCTTAATATATACTCTTAAAAGATAATTTAAAAATGGGGCGGGGTGGGGGATATTCTTCTGAGAAAAGGGGATCAGAGTTCAATGTGGGCCATACTTCTGCAGAAGGAGCACTTTGAAGTGGTCAGGACTCTATTACAGAAAGAGCAGTAACTGTCAGATACGTGATTGTCTTTCAGTGCCGTTTGAGGGACATGACATACTCTGCCCCCATTACAGTGGATATTGAATATACCCGAGGCAGCCAGAGGATTATCCGCAATGCCTTACCCATCGGCAGGTGAGAAATGAAATCTGTATTAGAGCCACACTGCGTGGGTGCCAGCCTTGTGATGTGACCCCATTTCCACATCTGAAAAATGAAGGAAATGCTGCCTATTTCATGGGTTGAAAGAGTCAGCACATGTAAAGCACTTAGAATAATGTCCAGCACATAGTTGGGGTTGTTACTATTTATTAATGGTAAAACCTTTCCTAAAAAATTGAGGAAAATGTTTTCCTTTCCTACTATAACTCTAAGATGCTAGGGAAACACTTTCTCATCTACAAGTATTTAAGGGAGAAATTATTCATTTGCCTGGTACAGGTTTGGAAATGATAGTATCCACTTGGATTTTTGCAGTCTGCCTTTCCTGATTAGGGAAATATATTGACTCTCCTGTAGAAATGGACAAAACCCACAATATTCTGAGTTTAATAATGGTATTAGACTTTAGATTTAATCCACATAATTTCTGTTCAAGTGGTTTTCCCCTCTCAAAAGTGCTAAGAGCTTAATAAATATCCATTTGTTTAACAAATGTACACCAACTGCCTGTCACTTCTTATGTATGTTGCTGAGTACTTAGGTGAGTAAAAGATACACAAAATACAGCTCCTATTGGCTGCCTTCATTCACAGCTGTCAGGAAAGACAGGCGTATGTAATTACTGCACCATTTGGTAAGTGGTCTAGAAGTCTAGAATTTTATGTTAAAGCAAACATATATATTTCACTCAAAGGAATGGGTAATTTGTATTGTTTCTCTCCTCATTCTTCAGTTAGAAAAATAAGTAAGATATTAAAATATTCTGGTTTTAGCAGGATTATTTATCAGTGTTAAGACGAGAACTTCTTTCTGTCTTATATATGGACCATACTTGTGTCCATTTAAATTTTGGACCGTTGCTAAATTATGAACTGGATTGACTTTTGTGAAGGAAAGGCAAGAGAGACTAGAGGAAAACATAAATTAGTAAGATTTTGGGTTTAAATCCTGGTTTAAAGAGGGAGCATGTAAGTAGTATTTGTTGAATACCTACTATGTGCCATACTATGATAGGCAATATTGTTTGTTAGCTCTGCATTCATAAAAAATGACCTCTATTAATTAGAATGCTTATATGTACTATGCATTATCTAAATTACATATGTAATCTCATTTATTTTTTGGAGTAAAAAGATTTTAGTTTAATCCAAATTGTATTTATATTTGGTTAGAAATCAAACAGTACATAAGAACATTTGATTCAAAATGGTAACCTCCCTCCCTGCCCTTCCTCACCTTTAGACCCATTCCCAAATTCATAATAATTTCTGTTATTTTTTCTGGGGGTTATTATATCCATAACTTTAGTGTGTGTGTGTGTGTGTGTGTGTGTGTGTGTTTTGTTTTGAGACAGTCTTACTCTGTTGTCCAGGCTGGAGTACAGTGGCATGATCTCAGCTCACTGCAACCTCTGCCTCCCAGGTTCAAGTGATTCACCTGCCTCAACTTCCCGAGTAGCTGGAATTACAGGTGTCTGCCACCACGCGTGGCTAATTTTTTTGTATTTTTAGTAGAGATGGGGTTTCACCATGTTGGTCAGGCTGATTGTGAACTCCTGACCTCATGTGATCCACTCACCTTGGCCTTCCAAGGTGCTGGGATTACAGGTGTGAGCCACCAGGCCTGGCCAGTATTCATAGCTAAATGCAGTGCTTTGACCTCTATTTCTTGATACATTAAATACAGACATTTTTTGCCTCCTGATATATGGGTTATGTCTTAGCTTATTTGTGTCACCTACTTTGCTTCTCCCTTCCTCCTCCAAATTCTCCTTCTTGTTTTTAATTCTCTTTTTGGTTGCTGTAGTAACTGTAATATTTTATATCTTTATGTCATATTATATAACTTTAGTCAGTGTGTTCATTTCCCTTGATATGAAATGAGAATATTCTTTTTTTTTTTTTTTGGTTAAATTACTTACTGTATAACTTTATTTCATGTTACATAAATATAAAATGCTCAGTAGACATGCAGATGACAAGCACTATATGACAAACTATAAAGTAATAATTACATGCAGAGTTTCTTGGATTTTTAGTGTATCTAAGAATTAACTGAAGACTTTGTTAAAAATGCAGGCTTAAAGGCCAAATTTAATACAAATAGGATGGAGCCTAAGAACCTGTAAATTATTAAACAACTGATTAAAGATAGAGAGGTTCCTATGAAGTTAGGCTTGTCCTTATTATTTGAACTGGACAAGTGGAAGGATAATAGGCAGGACAGAGTGAGCATTATTAGAATCAAAGTAGAGGCCAGAATACGCCCAGGTGTTTTAGCCTAGCTAAAGAAGCTCAGACTAGAAAAGACCTCCAGGATCAAGCTGAAAAATCTGGAGATTAGACTCTTGAAACTAAGGTTTCAGAACAGGGGGATAATAATATGATACTGACTTAAAGGAATATTGAGTTGATCAGATGCACTGCAAGCTGGAAAGCCAGCAAGAGGGTTCAGAATGAGATGATGAAGGTGAGCATTAGGAAGGAGGTATTTATAAGAAAAAATAAAATGTCAAAAGACACTTTGGTAAAAAATGTTCCTTTCACATACTTAAGGATAGGCAGTTAAAATTAAATACAACATTATAAAATACCCATGTCAAACATATTAATAACAATATCAATAATAATATGAATGAAATTATCTTCAACAGGTTTTTCAGATGTTTACTTCCATGATTCCTGACACTACACAGGAGCTTAGTAACAGTTTGTATTGCCTTCTTTTAATGGGGTTTTCAGGGCAAAATTTTCTTTACTTTCATGATGAAAAGCCTTTGAAGGATCAAAGCGTTTGATACCTAGGACTTTATTCAATTCATCTTGAAGTTTTGTCTCAGTTTGTTTTTTTTTTTAGCAAGCAGACAGCGGAGTTTTGATACTTCCGATTTGAGTTGGCTATTTTCATCTTTCAGCTTCACGACATGCTTGATTTTTTATTTTAAATTCTGATGACCCAATAATTTAGCATATGAATCTCTTATTTTATTTAGCTGTTCCTGAGCTGCACCATATTCATTCAACAATGCCTGTTTTTCTGCTTTGAAAGCATCTAGTTGTAGCTGGAAAGGTTTTATTTTATTATACAGTTCTTCGTAAATGAGACGCCACTTGTTAATTTCTTCAGTTAATTCTGCCATTGTATTTTCTTTTCCAGCGTTTCTTGCTCCTTCATCTTCCAGTTGTTTTATAAAATCTTCTTCTTGTTGCTTGAGTTGGTTCTGCAAATCAGTTGTTTTTTGAAAAGAAGAAACTGTGATTTCTTTAATTTCTCTTTCTTTTAGTGCTGACTTGGTCTGTAGATCAAGAAGCATCCTTGCATATTCTTGATTTGAGCTCTCAGTTGCCAATATCTGACCCTGAATATCTTCTGCATTTTTTCCATCCTTGGCCATTTTTTCCTGTAATGATGAGTTCTGCAGCTTAAGATCTTCTATCTCACTGGCTGTTAACGCTTTATAGCTTTCAAATTGAGCAGTAACATCTTCAAGGCTTTGCACTGTACTGTTAAACTTTTCCTGCAAAAGCAGGGTGGCCTGGGTATGAACAGCACTACTTTTCTCCAGTTCAGCCTCCTTCCCTTTCAGCTTTTCTTCTAGGAGTTTTAATTCCTCAGCTCTAGATTTTGTTTCCTCTTCCAATTGCTTGACCAGCCTTTCAGATTGTTCCTCCTTTTGCTGTAATTTATCAGGCTCATCCAGTGCTTGTTTTAATTCTTCCTCAAAGAGATTCTTCTCTTTAACCATCTCCTCTTGAAAAGAACACAGCTTCTGATGAAGACTAGAAGATTATTCTTGTAATTCCTTTTGTTGAAACTTTTCACGTTCCTGTTGTTCAATAATAAACTTCTGTTTTAGGTTTCACATCTCAGCATTTAGGTTTTCATTATGTTCTCTATTCCTGTTGACATGATCTTCTTTTTCTTTTTCAAGCAGCAGACCTTTCGCATTTAGGTCTTCTACTTGTTTAGATAATATAACAGTAATTTTCTCAAGAGACTGCTTAAGGCTTAAAATTTCATGATTCTTCTCCTTCAAATTTTCTTCTAACTGGGCAATATCTAGCTTGTATTTTTCCACTTGATCTGAAGCACAACTAATTTCTTGGATATATTCTAAGAGTTTTTCTGTTTCAGATTTTTCATCAATCTTTTCTTTCTCCATTGAAACAAGTTTTCCCTCCAGTTGGGCTATTTTCCCCTGAGACTCTTTGAGACTCCTTTGGGTGACCTGTAGCTTCATTTCCATGCCTTCTTGCTTAGCCATCAGATCCCTCATCTTTGTTTCTCTTTTGTTTCTAAGTTTCATCAGCTCCAAGCTTAGAATTCCCAAATTCTCCTGGTTACCATTTTCCAAAAACTTAGATTTTAGTAGTTCATTAGTCCTGGTCAATTCAGTAAGTTGTTTTTCCAGTGAAGCATTATTTGCAGAGAGAGGTGTTTTTTCCCTGAATGCAGCGTTTAGCCTTGCTTCCGTCTTTTCCAATTCAGTTTCCAGATCCTGGATCCGCCTGTCCTGAGCACCATGTTCCTGTATAAGAACACAAATCCTTTTTCTGATATCTTCAAATCTTTATCATTCTTTTGAGATTCTTTTGATTCTGAAGACTTAACTTTTCTAGCTGAAGAAGGCAAGGTAGTATCTTTGTCAACATTAAGATTTTGTTTAGAATCTTTTTGTTGTTTAAATCTTTGTGATTTCTGAAAGGATATTGGTCCTTTCAATACCTCTGAAGTTTTAACATCGTAAGCACCTGGAGATGGTGCACAACCAGAAGGGTCGTTGAATCGTTTCAGGGGTGCCTTAGGAAAGGACATGTTGACAGCCAGCTCCAGAAACCGAAAGTCATTGGCACCCCTCTGCAACTGAATGAGGATTATCACTGCCTCTGAAATGAGAATATTCTTATTCCTATCTTCCCATTATGATTTCCTTTTTAATCTGAGTTATTTAGAAGACTTAAAATTTCCCAATTGGTGCTTTATGTCAATTTTTGGAACTTTATACACCTGTTTCTATAAATATTTCATGTTTATTTGGAAACAAGGGGTATTCTTCAGTTGTTTTGTGCCATTGTCTGTGTTTTTCCGTCAGATCAAACTTGTTAATCGTGTTGTTTAGATGTTTTGTATATCTTAATTGCTTTTTGATTTGTTTGTTCTATCAATTAGGCATGTTAAAATCTCCCACTATCATGGTGGATTTGTCCATTTTCCGTATGTTTTTGTGTATCTTTGTTTTTTTGAAGCTATAATATTAGGTGCATAGAAGTTTAAAATTGTTTAGTCTTCCTGGTGAATTGAACCTTTGATTATTATATATTTATTTTCTTTATCTCTGGTGATATTCTTTGCCTTGAATCTTACTTCGTCTGCTCTTAGTATAGCCACATTTGCTTTCTTTTGGTTATATTTCTGGTATATCATTTAAAAAAAATATTGTCTTTTTAATCTTTTATATGTGCTGGGCATGGTGACTTATGCCTGTAATCCCAACACTTCGGGAGGCTGAGGCCAGCAGATCACCTGTGGTCAGGAGTTCGAGACCAGCCTGGCCAACATGATGAAACCTTGTCTCTACTAAAAATACAAAAATTATCTAGTTGTGGTGGTACACGTCTGTAATCCCAGCTACCTTAGAGACTGAGATGTGAGAATTGCTTGAACCCAGAAGGCAGATGTTGCAGTGAGTCGAGATTGTGCCACTGTACTCCAGCCTGGACAACAGAGAGAGACTTCATCTCAAAAAAAAAAAAGAACTCTTACATGTCCTTGTGTTTTGAGTTTAGTTGAAGTAAACTACATATGGCTAGATTTTTAAAAAATTTGTCTTGAGTATGTAGTTCATTTATATTTGTTTTATATATATACATACATATATACATATATTTGAATATAAATCTGTCAACTTATTTTATATTTTAAAACTGTGTAGCTTTTCATGTTTTATTTTTTTTTCCATTTTTGTTTCTTAGGTAATGGAAAACTTTTTTTCTAACCCTTCCCCAATTGATTTAAAAGTCACATACAGTATTTCTGTTTATGTTACCTTGGAAATTTTGAAAAGCATACTTAAAGTTTGAAAGTAAACAATATCTTTATTCTCCTCCTGGCAAGGACAAAGACCTTAGAAAGCTTTAACTTGGATCAGATCAATCACTTTGAGTTATATGCTTTTGTCGTACCAAAGTTTTGTTCTATCTTGTTTTGTTTTGGTCCTTTTGAGACAGGGTCTCACTCTGTCACCCAGGCTGAAGTGCAGTGGTACACTCAGATGACTCACTGCAACCTCAACCTTTTGGGCTCAAATGATCCTCCCACCTCCAGCCTCCTGAGTAACTGGGACTATAAGTGCACCACCACCACACCTAGTTAATTTTTTTT